AAACCAACTGGAAAACATCTTTTTTCAGTGAAGATGGATGTTGGAGTACAGATAAATTGACACTAAACCTCATGAAAGTAAAATTTATTACAAGATAACATAACAATCACGGTCAACTAAAACAATAGTTTGTATACTTTATTGCTAATTTAATGCTATTAGTGGTTCATTAATATTGTTGTTTATGAGACAGAATGAGCCTTGTTCTCTCAAAACTACTTATTGTCTCTAAATTTGAATATAGTAAGTGATTCTATCAGATCATGTACTGGTGGGAAGCTCAAAATACTCATGCTCAATTCGCTTACATAAGTCGACTAGTGTACGGTAACCCCTGATGGTTGCAGCCAGCTTGTTATTAGGCAGAGGAGTTGTCAGAACTGTGAAAAGGTGACCGAAAACCAAGGCATCTAATTCCGTAGGCCTACATAATAGGAATGAGAAGAAAGGAATGTTAGTCCTGTTTTTTCTTTCAGTGTAAAGTAAATAAACATTGAAATAATATAAGAATTACTTACTTGTCTCCAAAAAAGTAGTTCTTAGGCCCAAGTCTCTCTGATAGGGCCTGGCAACACTGGTCAACTTCATGAAATACCTGCAATTGAATTTTAATTAGAAATGGAGGACTGAAGACTGTTCTAGATATTTCAACTTGTTCTAACTGGTGTCTCCAATTTATGTTATATTTTTAACTTACATCGTCGAGTGTTTTATTGGCCCAACCCAAAACATGTAATCTTTTTGTAACTGAACTTCTCTTTTGCCAACATAGTAGATGATTCAGAGGCCAAGGGAATACAGATCCATACCTAGGTTTAGTAACCTGTTTGTACGTTTGTGCATCACACCATGTGATAAAAAGCTAAAGGGAGGAAAGCATTGTATGGTTAGTTAAGCAGGTATCTTCAACGTGCGATTTGTTTCCGACACTGATACATTTCACTTTCTAAAATTTGAGGTACTTACTTCTGCAGTAGCAAGGACATTACTAATGAGAGACATATATGCTCTCATATCTGCCTTCTCTCCATTGTCTAAATCATTAGTAAGGCTGACTCCCTGTAAAAGTTATTTAGTTATTTAGAAAATTGATGCTATAGAACACCTTAAACAAGAAATGAAACATTTAGGAGAAATGGGTTCTTACTTTACTTGCAACAAACGATACAATGGGCTCCAGTTCAGACACTACAAAGGCTCCACATTGTATGAAAGGTACTTTTCCTGCAAGTTAAACAAAATGACACATTAGAGACAAACATGAAGGAACTTAGAAACGCAGGAAATTATGGCACTAACCTGATGGTGACATAAATTCTGCATTACTTCGTGGTTCAACGGTATACTGCAGCTTTGACATCTTCAAAAATGCTTGAGTAGCCAGACAGTTAGCATTGTCTGGAAGCAGAATTTGCTCCACTTCATAGGGTTGGTATAGTTTAACATCTGAAGGCCAGGGTTCTTTACCTGAGACAAAATCAATCAAGAAATTAGGAATGTAGTTTGGTACCTAGCTGGTTCACATGGCCAATTGAAAAGTCGCCTTAAACTTAGAGTTAGTTTTGAATTAAAGGCATATTTCTCAACTAATTGTAGCATTTTTAAGAAAATTCGAAATCATTATTTGTGTAACCTCAAAGCATGTGAACAGGTCCATTGGAAAAGTGCATTATTTTCTAGACGTTCTAGTAACCGTACCTCCTACTTCTAGCGCCATTGCTTCGGATAAAATAACCCTAGGGGTGGGCATTTCCTAATTAAAACAAGTGACGTAATTACAACAAGCTTAAAATATTTCTTTCCAAACAAGTGCAGTTCAAGAGAGAGCAGACGACGGAAAAGAAGCATTCAAGAAACAAGTGACGGTGATGTGAAGGGCTGGTAACTTAATCCCCGTTGGACGGATCGTATATTTCAGTAATTTTATTTAAATACGGACGTGATTGGGTTTGAATTACATTTTTATACTCTTTTGGATAACTTTGAAAGTGTTTTTTGAAAGAAACATGAAGGTATTTCTCGTCTTAACTGGAGAATTTAGGGTGCCCTTCATTGGTTGGTGTTGTCTACCCTTCACTACGTTTCCTTTCATGAAATTGAAATTTCGTGCTCTTGAAAAAAAATGAAGATTCGCCAAGTTGCTGTCATTCATTAATTTTAACTGGCTAGCTGGTAAGTTACTTTAGTGAAAGTGCTTGTTTTATACCTTGCCCCTGGTTCCGGCTGCGTTCATGGAGCTTGTCCAGCCTGCCCACACCCACGAAACAGTGCTTCTGAAAGACGAGAACAGTAATGTTTCTGAGAAGATGACCAAAACCTGTGTGTTTATGTTTACATTTTTTCCCCTCGTGTTTGATGCATTGTTTCTCCAAAGCGTGTAAAGTAAGGGTTATAATTATTTTCTTTATTTCCGTCAGCAGAGCCCTTCCAGTGCCGCGCCCCCGCGAGTTCACGAAGGTTAGGCTCCTGCTCACCCAGCGAGGATCGCCGTCCTGTCCGTAGCCCAGCCGCTCGACGTCCGACGGGGTCCTGGCGCAGGGGAGCGCCACGAGCCCCGCCTGCGTCCAGGCCTCGTGCATGCAGGTGAGGACGCGCTCCTCCTCCGTGGCGTTCCAGGCCAGCTGGAAGGACGACTCGCTGCCCGTGCGCCCCGACCACGCCCCCATCCATTTGACCTGGCACGAGACGCATCACGCGGTGAGTACTCCCGCCCACCTCACGACCTCCCTTTACCCTCCACGGCGCGGGGCGCTGCTCACCCTGTCGGCGTCTGTCCGCGAGGACGACGTGCAGACCACCTCGGCGACGAGCTGCGGCACGACAACGGCGCAGTCCTCGGCGGCGCGCGCACGCTGCTCCAGTTCCCGCAGCTGCGCCCCCAGGTGACCCATAAGTACGTGATCGCGGAGTTCGACATGGTCCTAGGGCGCACAAGTGGACACGCACCCGCTGCTCCAAGTAGAACCGGCTCGACACCACGTCCACGGGCTCGGCCTCACCGCTGGGCGCGCACCACTCCACCTGGCCCCTGTCGCGGTCCCCGAGCCAGCGGGCGCTGGCCGCCCCCAGTTCTCGCCGACGTAGCGCCGACACGCTGCAGCAAAGAGGCGAGTTCCTTAACGATCTCACCCAGTCTGGGGCGTTCAGTTCGGCCGTTTATTCACTTGTTCGTCTTTCACCTCCTATGGGTGTGGTTTGAGAGCGCGTCGTGGGGTTCGGTGGACCGCTCCACCTCCGCTGCCCTGCTGCGCGGAGAGCCGACGCGGGCCCTGCTGTCGGCGCCGTGGTGCTGCGGGTTGCCGTCGTGGCCTTGGACATGAGGTTCGGACGGCAGGACAGCTGGAGAGAGGGGCCAATGTATCCGTACGTGGCGACGCGGCAGGGCACTCTGCCGTCGCGTTAGATAGTTACCTCCGCTCACCTGCGCCGGAGAGCCGCTGGTGGTCGAGCCGATCCACGCCCTGCCCCTTCCTGGTTGGTTAGAAATGCAGGGATTGCACTCCCCCGTCAGCACGGAGGCTGTGTGCTCCATGCCGACCGCGAATCTTTCTGGACTCGGACCCACCTGGCGAGTCTACTGTCGTGCAGGTAGACGATGCTGCTGGCGGCTCCCGCCGCCCTGGACTCGATCAGGTTCTTGTTGATCTCGCGAACGACGTCACTACCAACTTTGGACACGGCCCGCCTGTGAACGCGACTCGCTGTCGACGTGCGTCGATACGCCTTGTGCTGTAGCCCGAGGGGTATCGCCGGCCCAGCTGACCTGCTCTTGCTGTGGCTGGGCATGAACTCGAGGCTCTCGCCGGGGGTCCAGCCCAGTATGACGGACTCGCTGCTGCGGTAGTTCCGCACGTCGCCGTCTACCTTCAGCTCCTGCACCGCCGCGGTGGTGGTTGGGGCCGGGCCACCAGTGTCGCTGTCCGTCACTGCACGACAACATGACCGTCATCTAGCTGTAGCACAGCCCGGCGCTCAGGTGGCCCTTCGCGAACGCATGCGTGCCCTGGTCGATGGCGCTCCGGTGACAGTGCTGGATCTTGTCGAGCAGGGCGTTGAGCCGCGGCAGGTCCTCGGTGTCCACCCCGGTCCACGCGCCGCCGCCGTCGTGCACCTTGTCGGCGTCCGGCTTCTGGCAAACTTTGACCCGATGAAAAATCACGACGCGACCAGGACATTCGCGCCTTGAGCTCCTACGGCTCCTACGCTTCTCCCACCTGCAGCGACCACAGGTCGCCGGGCGCGGCCCGGACGCTGCTCTCGCGAGTGGTGGACGTCGACTCGGGGAGGTCCTCCCCCTCGTCCCCCCATTTCAGCTCGTACCCGGACTCCACTGCGGGGCCAGGGAACGGTTTGACACTGCTGTTTTACCACCGTCGCCCTCCCACTTTCCACGTCCACTCACGGCTGGTCTCCGCCGTGTCGTCCGCGAGGTCGGCGATGTCCTCCCCGGGTCGGCG